GCATGGATTTTTCTGGCGCGGGGCCGTAGAGGCAGGTGCACTGCTTGATTGCCTCATTTCCACTTCCACTGCGGGCACTGCCGATGCTCTCGCCTTTTCAAGAGTGGAGTTTGCCTTCCTCGCACTCTGGCCCGAGGGCTTTCCCTGCAGGAGTAGAAAAAAGGGGACCCTAATATAGTACCCTAAATAGTAGGATCCTGATTATAAGAACCCCAAAATAAGGTATCATGTGCCGCGCCTTCCTGTCACGGCTGCTATGTGTGCGGCCGGGCGTCCGAAGCCCCGGGCTTGTAGGAGGACGCGCCGGCGATGGGCTGGGACTCCTCCAAACATCGAAGCTCTGCAGGTTTACGGTTGGCCTACGGTTTAGGGTTCGGGGCTTCGGCTTTGGCTTGTTCTAAGGGTTAGAGTCTCCGGAGCCCTGCTGCGTGCTATGGGCGCCGTCAAGATGGACTTGACAGAATTTCGAGGGCCGCAAGCGACTGCTGCTCGATGCAACTAGGGCGGGGCATTTTTCAGGCCTAGTATGTATAGTATATAGTACAGTACAATATAGTATAGCATAGTATTATATAGTATAATAGGGTATAGTGTAGTATATATAGTGCTTGCGCTACCCTGGCACAAGAGCATCCTCGTCATGAAGGTCTGGCAGGTCTGCATCCTGCGGCGTTGGGACACGGACGGGAACATCCAAAGGATCTATGTACATTGTACTCGTAGCCGGCGGTGCCACCATCATATAAAGCTGCTCGTCAACTTTTCAGGATTACAAAATAACCCAGCCCAAGAAGAGCTTTCCGGACCAACATGTGCTGGGTGCAGACGTGCAGGCTGAATGTGAACTGAGACCTACTTCGACGATCCAGCTAACGTCCTCGGCAAGGCCAGATATTTTCAGCTGCTCGGGTCTCACGTCTGCATCGCAGAACCATCTGCAAGGACAAATCATGAGAAGTGATGAAATGTCTAGGTTGGTGAATCACCTCTCGCATGGCAAACACGATCCGTGCCGTAGCCTCCTTCCGATGGTGTAGCAAGCAATATCACTCCTCGGAGGAAGAATGTGCCAGTCCTGCAACCAGTTGCTGTCACAACAGGACGAGCTGCATCAGAAGCTCAAGCAGCAAGGCACTGCATAACTAGAAACTTGGCATTCTCAATCAAGCCTTTGGCACACTGACGAAACAAAGACATCTGGAGCATGCAGAAAGACAGATCGCTACACAGTAGCTAAACCATGTTAAACCCCAAACCCTAGACTTAAGCTCTAAAGCTCTAAACTGAGAGTCAACAGAAGGCTTGCTTGCCTTGACGTACTCGGTTATGGCATTGCAGACATCCACGCAGCTGGCCAGCTCGTCCGGGAGCTCAATGAGATGCCTCATCGAATACTCAAAAAACTATCTCAACTGTAACAACTAGAATAACAATAATAACTATCCCAACTATAACAACTAGCATAACAAAAATAACTGTCATAATCACAAGAACAGCGGGTAATAGTTTCTGGAGGATGGAATGCCGTGGGGCCCCTATATTCCACAGTATTTTCGCATCTCTTACCGCGAAATCACCTTTGAAATACAAGGGTGGTGTAACACTTGCTAAGGACTTAGCTCCGAACCAACTCGCATTGAATCGGTTTCCGTCATTCCATAAGCCAGACCTTTTTCCTTGCGAGCATGTTGCAGCATTCGCTCGAAAGCATGAGTAGAAGCCACTATGCAATGTTGATACCACGTGATGATAAGGAGCATAGGTATCTGTGCCACTAGCGTGTAGATTACGCCAACATATGCCCGCACTGAATTACAAAGATGTGGTCTCAGCATATTGCCACATGTGATAGGTTAGAGCCATGTCTTTTGCATGTGGGCGCACCATATTCCACTCAACTATATAAGTTTAAATGGCATTGTTTGTGGAACTTGCAAGTCAACGTGCAGTCTGGGCGAACTTTCTGTAGCAGCAATACTAATAGTAACACTCATAATCTACTAACCATAGCGGGATTTAGGAAGTTTAGGGTGTCTCCATGCGACCCACAAGAGGCGTTTCAGGCGAGGCACCACAAAGTCCGGATCTGCTCAGTTGTCTTGGACAGAACCGTGGCAAGATGCCCCTGGCCAATCTTCAAGCCTCAAACGGATCTTGACTGGATCAATTTACAACGACAGGAAGGAACATTGAAATATCGGCCCTCGAAGGTCCTGGAATTGGAACATTGCATTTCTGATTCTTGCTGAGTGAGCACAGCCTACAGGAAACGGACCAACTAATGCAAACCCTACACTCCAACACCCGCAAAACCCTGACGGAACTTGCGATCTCGGCCAAAATGCCTCTGTCATCCCCGTTGATGAACATACAGCTTCTGGTGACGATCTCTTCAGCACAGAGCGGAGGGAAGTCGCCTCGACAACGAGCTCCGTTGGGCTTTGATCAAACTCTAGGGACTTTTGAGGGCAGAAAAGGAATGTCGTACCAGTACTGGAACGAGAATCGGAGTAGAGGAACAGCGACGCGAGAACAAACAACGATGATTGCAAGTGTCCGCATGTCACCGTCGACACAGATTTTCAATCAGAAGCAGGGTTTGTTGCTTGGGTTCCAGCTTGGCCGGGTTGCCGCTACTCCCCTTGTAACTAGATATTTGATGACTCTCGTAAGTTGTCAGCGCGGTTCACATGGCTCACAGAGACGCAACCAGCAGGTGCGGGTTCAAGGGATGCGAAGGCAGCCGCGCGGCTCACGTTGAGACTTCCGAGGTCAGCTTCCTCGCAGGTGGGCGTTTGCGGATGTCACGGACACTGACCTACTAGTAAAGTCCTGCGTGGGCTTCAGGGTTTCATTGTCATCATTGCCCTCAACTCCGAGTTAAAATGGCAACATCATTATTTCTCATTGCCATCATTATTAACATTCTTGTGGGCGTTTGAAGAAGCGGTTCAGCGCACCACGCAGAAGAGGCCCGACTCACTGCCTAAACTTCTCACCTTTTGCTGCAGGGTCATGTTATGCCAACCTCACTTCCTGCAAGAGCACCATACTGCAGACTGAATGCAATTCTTCCTGTTTCCTCCTGTTCCACCCGGCTTGCCTCATGGACGGACCGCAAGGCATGGCATCCCAGCAGGTGTACCAAGAGCAAGGCCTCCACAGCTCGCACCATGTAGCACGCCTTGGAGGGCTTTTGAAGGGCCGGAAGGGGAGGGTGACCTGTGCCAAGGAAGCTCAGGCACGAGCTCACTGAACTTCGCAGGCGACTCTCATGCTGCACCATGCCGCACCTACGAGGTGAGCTTCTGGAGCCAAACTTATAAAGAGGGCCATAGCGCTCGGCTGAATATCAAAACAAACGGGGGTGCATGTGACGATGCGGTGCAGCAACGGACAACGGCAGCATCAACTCGTCCATGCAGCATCGTGCAGCACTGTTGCCGAACGCACGAAACACTATGAAACACTTTTGCCACGCTTTGCTCTCAAGCTCGCGAGGAATGCCAGTGTAGCACCTCCTTTCTTTGAGTTCGCCTCGTTCTTGTCTTCAGATGCACTCTGGCTCTCGCTAAGACTCGACTCTGGCTGGTGATCCGCGGCGGCCGCGGCGTCTGCACCTTTGGCTGCCTTGGCCGGTCTTCCTCTTCGCCTCTTCTTGCGCTGCACAGTGTTTTGGGCTTGGGCTCCGTCGTCGCCTTCTTCTGGATTTGCCCCAAGCAACCACATTACGCGGGTCTTGCCAAGGCGTAGCAGCGGCTGGCCATCTCTCTTGCTGCTATGCATCTTCACGGAGGCACTGAAGGAGCTGCCGCCACGCAAGGACGACAAGAGCTTCTGCTGGCCTTCTTCCAGCATGGTGCCCAGCGCTTTTCTGGCACCGTCCACTGCTGCAGATGTGGAACTGAAACTCCAGCACCACGTGCTGCCGCCCAAAGCCGCAGTAAGAGACTTCGCCACACGCTCGTGAGGAACTTCGAGCAAAAGCTCGGTCATGCCCGAAGTGCCATCCAGACGTCGGAGAGCAGAGTCGAAGGGCTCCAGCGCCAGATCCCGACGAAACGCAAGCAGCGTTTGCCGTGGAAGCTCCGTTAGCTTCTTAACGACCTCCTGGTCGGGACTGGCATCCGGGAGGTCGCAGTCCGCCTTTCGCTTCTGCCCACGGCCCATGGGCTTAGATGAAGAATCACGTAGCTAGACTGGAGGAAATACGCATACACCGGCATATACACACCCAATAACCATGAAGAAGTCTTAACTTCAGAAGTCTACACTTTGACTTTACACTCCACACCATGAAGCCAAGGTATCCTGTGTGCGAAGCCGAGGCCCCTACAAACCTAGAGTGCAGGGCTCCCAGATGCGTCGCTGAGCCCTCTAGTCTCATCTCTTCGCGAAGTTCTCGTGCTTTAGTACCCTGGAAGAGCATGCTCAGGGGTAGGCTCGGCACAGCAGCTGCAGCACAGTGGTCAAGGGCATACAGTGGCCACCGCCCATACACTGACCCTAAATTCTGAACCCCAAACCCTAGGCTCCCAAACCCTTCTTTTGAAAATCGAAGCTTGGCCCTGTCGACAGACAGCCCGGCCGCTATTGGTGGAGTTGGGAAGTCCTTAACGACCCATGCGTACAAGGCCCCTGGAATGATAGGCTTCAGGCTTACAGGGGTCGTCTGCGGGGGTAGCTCAAAAAGCCTCCCCAACCCAAACGCCCAGTCATACTCCACCAGCGGCGTTCGACATTAACATGAGCTACCTCCCAGCTGAAGCAAGCAGCTTGAGGTTTACAAAGGCATGGGTTAATTCCCACCTGCCGATCTACAGCCACTGGCTCTCACATCCGCCGGTGATTACCCGGACGGGGTGAAGTAGAGCTGGATGATTTCCAGCACAACCTGACATCACTTCGTGGGTGTAGGTGCGCATATCATCATGGCATATCAAGACGGTCAGGTATTCTACACAGCACCAGATGCGAGTTCGACAGGCTCAGTGTTCCTTTCATTCACATCCAGTCAGCATCCCGTCTTCTGTCGGAAAGGGACACATGTGTATCCCGCTTGCCTCGACCAAGATCAATATTATGACAATCCATTCGAGCCGCGTCTCGTGGCTCACCTGCCACAGCTCTGACTGACAGCATCGCAACGACACAAGAGTATAGCAAAGCACGCTGCTGACAACGAATGTTGCCAGCCACACATTCAAGCTGTTCTGCAGCAGGTCATACAAGTCCTCCGGGCACCCGCAAGTTCTATGCGCAAAGCATCCCTACTTACAGAAGGCACCCAACTGGAAATACCATGAACCTAGCATGCCCTGGACAGCATCCTTGAGAACGACTAGACGCTGATTGAGGATGTCCTCAGCTGACGTCCGTGCCACAATCTTCGAAGTGACCGTGAACTCTGTCCACGAGGTGCATAGAAGGTTCATGAATCGTATCCTTTCTGCCTTGCTCTCTGAATGCTGCAAAGGTGCGACTCGCTTGTCCTCAGTGATGCAGGACTCTTTGAATCTCTTTAACTTTCAGGCTCAGTGCAATGGCTTACAGCTGCAAATCAGCTAAGCGTGTTGATGCTACTAGTACCGTAAGTCTCTGGTGCGGTGTTAAATTCCAGCGAGTTTGTCCATCATGAACATAGTATGCTGCTAAGCGAGCAGACGAGGTTCGATGTCCAAGTATGTTCGGCAGGCCACGTAGATCTTCTCAAACCGCTCCTGGCAAGAAGACCCTCGACAGGAAACTGCTTCACAATAACGAAACTATAGTGGCACTATAGTGGCGCTTACACACGGGCTCCCGCATTTCCCACAGCCAAAAGCCTCCAGGATCATTTTCTTCTACCGCGTTCAGATATGTGTTGAATAGGATTTGGCAATGCAGGGTCTCATACCAGTAGGACTCCGAATGGGATAACAGTAGGATGTCGATATCCTGGAACATCCCCCACATCGGAGAGACCTGCAGGCGAAGACGGCGAGTAGTGGGGATGCCAAGACGAGGGGCGGGGGTCCGACCAGCCTTCGGACCTTATTCCGACCCGGATCCTCGGGCCTGACACTTTCGGAGTAGGGTAGGGTGGTAATCTCTGGTGCAATTTGCCTCCCACCCCATACATCCCCATACCAACCCGGGCTGACAGGGGCACTCTGGAGCCCAGAGGAGGCCCCCTTCTGCCCTTACCACGGTTTTGCATAAGCGCTGGTCTAAGGGTTGTAATCCAGGCCGGAACAAGGTCGGAACAAGAATGGTCGGCAAATGCGGGTGTAAACCCTTATCTGAGACCCTGTCAAAACCGGCATCAAGAACCCTATCTGGACCGTCTTCGAAAGTCTATTCAAGCAGCATCCGGAATCGTAACCCAAAGTGTACTCAACATTACTCAACTCGTATTAAGAAGGCAGGAACCCCTCCCGAAGGACCTTCGTACTGTTGGCCTTATTGAGCATCCACAAAATGGCTGACTTGGGAAGCCCTCTCCTCATCCCAGAAGATGTCCGGTGTGTCGAGGATGTCGGTGTGCAAGTTAACATCGCATCTGAAGGCATCGTTCGACATGGTAAGCAAGGGTCTACGTTCTGGTTTGCATCAGCGGCCCATCTGTCGCTACTTAACCAAACCACTGTGAGGAGCCAACCCTCTGCTGATCAGCTTCCGGCATCAGATGCATTCCAGAAGACATGCCTCAACATCAGCAGCGCGCCCATTTGCTTCGCGAGCGCACGTGCCTTGCAAAACCCAGCCGGTCCGCTGAGCACCAGCTATATAACTTAGAGGGTTGCGACTGGTGGTTCAGTTGCAGATAACTGCAGCTTTGACCGTCACCGGTTAATCTGACATATCACTCGACCACGAGTCTTTGTCAAACCCACCCTACTCAAGTCGTAATCGGAGAATAGCAACGTCAACGGTACTGGGACTTATTGTGGTACTGGTTCATAAAGTGCCGAACCTGATATCGTTGCTGAACCAGAAACCAACATAATAGTGATGATGCCATGATGTGAAGCTGATGTGATATGACACGATATGACACGGCATGACATGATGCGATTTTTTATATGTATGGCATGGAATGATAACCTGATAAAGCTGGTATGGCATAATATCTAGTACTGCTCTTCATGCTGCTGTATCTGCTTTCGCTCCTACTACTACTGCCCCTACGACGACGACGACGACGACGGCTGCCGAAGCTACTGCTACCACTACGAACACAACTGGGACTACCACCATCACTAATGCCAACAAAAGTATCGCTACCAACACTACCGGAACAACATGGAGCAACCACAACCACTACTGCTACCGCTACTACTGCCGCTCCACTAACACTCACCACCGCAGTGGCGGTGCAGCAGTAGTAGAAGCATGAGTCGTCGTCGTTGCTGCAAAAGGACTTGACTAGCAATGACAACAATCAAAAATTTCCATGCGAGTACCGAAGGTCAAAGCAATAAGGCAAGACTGCGAAACTTAAAAGCTATCATGGTGATAATGCCAAAAAAATGCACCAGTACATGGTCTGAGCCTCCATATTGACTTCCCCCGTGTCCGCCAAGGTTTCCGGGATGCTCCTGAAAACCATGGGGGCCCCATTGGAGGCTCCAAGGACGGGAGGCTCCAAGGACATGGTATTCTGCGCAGGTTGCTGTATGCTACAACAGCCCGGAAGGCAGATGCTCCCGTAAACTACCGTAAAGCCTCTCTTCTCAAATCCCTAATCCTGAACCGTAAACCCTCAACCCTCAACCCTAAACCCTAAACCGACTTCTGAAATCTCCTGGTCTCCCTGATGGACTTCTCCACCACCATCTCGAAGCATCCAAGACGGACCGACTGTGCCAAGGCCTTTCTGGAGCCACGGATATGTTGCGCTATATGTGATATATGCTCTAGTATGTGTATATATATATATGTAATATTGAAGGAAATGTAACATAGGTTTCGATTGTATGCATATATATATATATACACATGGTCGGAACTGGTGACTAGTGGCCTGGAATTCTGCACTTCGTGAACTGGCAACGTCCAGTCAAGCAAGGGCACGTAGGAATGCGCGAGCTTCTCCTTCAAGGGGCTATGCGACGCCAAGATGATCCTCAGCAATGAGTAGTATATGTGTTCTAAATTTCAGACATCTTAAGCTGATGTTAAGCTGATGTTAACCTGGACAGTATGTTATGTTTAGCGTGGCAGGGCCCAGCACACATGAATGTGAATGATGCACAGCCAAAGCCGAGTCCCCTGCTTGTCTTGGCTGATGCATTTTGCCTGGCCAACCGAGTTTAAGCGTATGTGGCGTGCTCACTCGCACCTCTGTGAGTTGTAACCTGCAACAAGCACGGCAAGTTGCGCGGCCTCCTGCGCTGGCTCATCGCCATCATCTGCGCCATCATCTGCCTCCACCTGTGCAACCCGCTCCATCTGGAATCCACACTTCGTCCGGCCTACTTGCGAAATGGCTTGTTGTTTTTAGGTTAGCAGCAACACTCACAGCCGACAGAAAGGCAAAGCAAGAGCAGGCCGCCGAGAAAGCAAGCGAGCAAGGGAACGAGAGTGGGATGACCGAGCGAGAGAGGAAAGAAATTGGAGACCGAGCCAGCGAGGGAAGAAGTGATAGGCACACACCGATTCGGAAAATTAGAGACATAGGGAGCCCAAGCAGGCCGACGAAAGGATGCCGAAAGAGGTGCCTCGTCTTTCCGCTTAAAGAGGAAATTCATTGTCTCCTCCTCGAAGCCACCTGCAACTACTGCCAAGCAAAGTGTCGCTCCTCTGACACTGGAGAGCTAAAGGGTACAGGTATTGCCGGTATGTTACCACAAAGCAGATGTTCTGGTCTTTATTATGCTTATGAACCATACCTGGTGCCCTGGTGTGGTATCGACCATATATACCATATTATATCGCTGTTACGCATCGGAGGCATGTTTCTGCTGTCGCTGCAGCTGTTGCGCTGTTATTTTCATTGCCATCGTGTTGGTGGAGGTGGCGGTGGCAGTGGCGATGGTGCCGGTGGCGCTGATGGTGGCTGCAGCGGCGGCGTGCCAGGGTGATCGTGGTGGTGGTGCTGCTGCTGCTGCTGGTGGCAATCATAATTTCTGACATGATATTGAAGATAGTAACACTGATGCTGATTGATCACGATGCTGCCGTCATCGTCACTTCTTTTGCGGATGTTGCTACTAGTTTCGTTGTGGCTGTTGTTGTGCTTGACGCTGCACTCAGTTGCCCCTAATCTATCGTTCTCGCCCTCATAACCGGTTTAATTCACCATACCCCGTTCTCACTGGTGCTGATACGAAAACAAGCACCAGGGCATTCCTGCTAAGTTCGTACTTATAGCTAGTAATTCTACCGTACATCATTTATCAGAGATCATAGATCCTGCAGAATATGTCATACATAGGTTATATTGCCTTAGCATATAACATATAATTAATCATATCGTTTGTCATTTACAGAATACGTCGTGGAATGAGCGATGAAGCACCCCTGGTGGGTCTCACTGCATCGAGCTGCTCCTCTCTTGCGGCCGCACCAGAAACCTGAGAACTCTGCGGGTTCTTCACGCGACGATGCCTCCGACTCTTATGGGCCCCCATCACTAGGAATTCGGTGGTTCGGGCTTTAAAGTGTTTGGGGCGTAGGCCAAGGCCCAGCGTTTAGAGCTGTTTTGGCAACTTCAGCTGCCGGCTGTAGCAGAAATCATTGCATGACTCCATGACGGATCAGCCAAGCAACGGCTTCATTGCATCCCGGATCTGATCGAGTTCGTTTGGCTCCAGACTCCAACAGACCTCAGACTACGCAAGGGCTCCCGATAGTGCATTCATAGCGGAAAGGCCTGTTGCAAGGACCCGTCAAGCCATCCACTTGAGAAACACTCATCTGAAGAGACGGCACCGTTGTCGCTAGCCATGTTGCATGGATTGCTGCTGCACTTTCTCCGACCAATTCCCTAGAATGTAAGCTAGCGGCTATTGAACCATCATCAACTATGAATTGTCTCATCAAATAGAAAGCTCATTGCGGACAGGCAGCGATGCAACCAAAGCCAAATGCAAAGACATCCTGCAACCAACGGCAGAATTTGTGCGCGTTTGTGTGTTCGCCTGGGCCTGATCCAAGCCATCCATACATTACATATGCGGCCAAATACACCTCTGCATACACAAAAATGGATGTGCAGAGACGTGACACATGAGTTCATACACAAGCATACGAGTAGCTCACAACTCATACACTCGCTCATGAACACCCATGCATTGACATGCGCAAGGCTACACATGCATGTGGACAAAAGGAAGGAAAATAAGAGATGGGAAGACAGCGACATTGAAAGAGTGCAAGAGAAAGAAGGACTAAATTGCATCGCGTGCAGGATGGAGGCAAGGGTGCAGGCAATGGTGACAGGACAGGACCATACCAGCATGCATGTGCCGACAGGTCTATTAAGTATATTCATGAGTACATTGTACATGTACATGATGGGACCGTGACGCGAGAGACAAAGAGAGTGAGAGAGAGAGAGAGAGAGAGAGAGAGAGAGAGAGAGAGGGCCAAATGTATCCGCAGGTGCTGATAGAGTAAAATGCAAGGTGGGTAGTTTTCAACACCGTCCCTCGTCGTCTGCGTGATCTCTGCTGAGAGTGGATCCGCCTTCTGTCCGAAGAACTGCAAGTGGAGAACAATGTTCTCGCCCGTGCCGAAGTGTCTCACTAACCCGCCTGGCAGCAAAGACTCAAAGCAGCACAAGAGAAGAAGCGCAGGGTTCCAGTGCCCGGTCTCCACATCTTAAAGATGTTTGGGAAAAAGCCATCCTGAAGCGCGCCTAAGAGTTCCCTGTCTCACCAGAGCTGCTACACTAGGCTGCCAGACAAGATAGCCACCTGCGCACGGACGGAGACAGAAGGTCACATTTCCACCTTTCATCGACCCTGAACTGCTTTGCCTCCGAGGCCATTATCGAGCTGGCGTGGTCCAGCCAGCGAAGACTGGCTGCCGCCTTTCAGGATTATGAAAGGCATCTGTCATCTACACCTGGACCGTACCGGAGCAAAAAAAAAAACCTGAGACGCCGAAGACTTCGGGTGAAATGGGGACTTCGGTTTCTTCTCTTCTTCAGGCGGGGGGGGACTTCACTGCAAACGGTGCTTTGATTTGCATCTGCGCCCGCCCAAGGCAGACAAGGTCTCTACTTTGCGCAGATGCAAGTACAGATAGTGGAAACTGACAAGACGCAAGACCCGAACTTCAATTGATTTTCGGAACTCCGTTCAAGGGAAAAACGACGAAGATGGAACAGAAACGACGAAGGCACAACTCGCTGATTGAAGTCAGACTATAAAGCAAGCCTCAAATCAAGCCATCATCCGAAAGCATGTCAAGCACCTGACACTTTCGAGCAATGCACTGCAGGCAGTGGCACATGGCACCTCGAATCTCGGGGGGTAACTCCAATTGCGATAGTTCGCGGCCCTTAGTCTTGAGGCAGGACTGGAGACGTGGAAGGGGAGCTGTGTCTAAACCGATCGCATCCAAAGCCAAGCCAAGTGCGATGGATACTCCTAGACGTGGCTTTCTTGTTTGAAAGGCTGCTGCCGGTCCCCACGAAATCCAAGGACAGTGGTGTGGAACTGCATCTAGCGAACTGCGGCTTGCACGGTGCTGCTGTGAAGAATGTGAAGAGAAGTTGTCTAGAGACAATCGGCATCCGTGATGCTTGAGCCTTAATACGACCTTCAAGCTGTGGCCGGTGCCGCTGCCGCTGCTGCTGCCGAAGCACGTGCCACCTTTCTGCATTTAATGGCTCCATTTGCCCGACATACAAAGTTTGAACATGCCGTGCTGGCCGAAGATCTTAACACGAGTCTGGCATTGCAAGGCGTGGCGGTCATGCTTCACTGCGTGCGATGTGATGCATGGGGCAGCTGTTCATACAGTAGCACTCGTGTCGTTCTGCTAGGCTTTGTGGTCGCCACAACTATGCTGTACGGGCGCCAGGACACCACACCACCCCCCCCCCGGGTGCCTCAGTCGTAGGCGCGCTCGCTTCTGCCAAGCTCGCCTTGTGAGCAGTGCAAGCAAGGGCCAGAGGCTCCTCGTAGTACCCGTTTCATAGTACCATTTATGGAGCTATGGTGCCCTGAAGCTGGGCGCCAGAACATTGCAAGACTACAGCCTCAGCCTCGCTTGCCCTGGGCAGCCCGGGCCGCAGGCCAAGTCCAAACCACCAGCCATGCAAACGGCATAGCATTCCTTGACACCGGCAACTGCAAGTGTTACCGAAGGCCAAGCTTCCTTTGTTGCCGAACCGCTGCTGCTGTCTGCTGCCCTATATGCGCTAAACCCTAAACCCGAAGCCTAAACCTGACTCCGTGACCTGAGGGACTGACTCCATCTTTCTGCAAATTCTCATCCAGCTGTCGCCGAACCTGCAGTAGAAAGGCAGACGGGTAAACATTGCAAGCGCGACAGTGCAAAGTAAATTAGCTCTGCTGCAATTTCCAGATCTAGTGTGACTGTGGCAAGCAGATGTAGGAAATTATTTCTATGCTTGCCACCGAGGACCAACGACTAGTGCGGAATTCATCGAACTTTCCGGCGTGAACCTAGCAAAAGGTGCCGCTTTTCCAGTTGGCCTCTGGGTTGCCGCACACGGCAGTCGTGCTAGGCTACTTAGGGCGCCCTGCTCTTCCTCCTTATTCGGAAGACGTCACGGTCAAGGAGACTTTCTAAAATGCTTGCACTTGTAACCCCAAATCCTCGAACAAGTCTCTTTGCAGGCTTTGAAAGAGCCGTGGCTTCAATGCAGTGTGCAGAGTGCAAAATTCATGTACTTAAATCGTGCTCTTCCAGTTGCGCCGTGGCTGTCACACACCCTTTGTAATACTCTGACACGTGGGTCCGACAACACTGCGCTTCGCTGAACAAAAATTATAGTCTTCAGTCTACCTCTGCTTGAGCAGCACCAACGACTGTTCGTCCTCCTGACCGATGGGCGGACAGCAACTTGCCAAGCTCGACAGCCTCCTCGTAGAATTTACGTGGGGCCTGAGCCCCTGTTCGCGGCTTCCTTCTGTTTTCTTCTGTCTAATTTGATATAGCACGATACACACATGAATAGAGTATATGACCTAATATTTAATATGATACTCCAATAGACAACACGATGAGAGGTCCCGCTTCGGAGAGTCGTACCTCATTGACAGTCTGCCTCGTCGCAGGAGCTCGCCGAGATGTGGCCTCGGGGCCGCAAAAGAGCGAGAACCGTTTTTGGGTTGAGGGCTGAGGGTTTCCAGTCCCAGTATATCCCTCATTACAGTCTTTATCCCTAAACCCCAATGCCGCTCATCAAGACGCCTGTGCTACCCCCCAAAGAAACACTCCTAAAGTCTCTGTGGTCCCTGCGCCTAGGCCGGGCAAACGCCGGCCCGCACCCGACAGGGCGGCAGCCACCAAAGCCTGGCTCGAACACAGCAGGTGCAGGATCGGGTTTGGGGTTGATGGCTCCAGAGGATAACGCCCCCCCCCCTTTTCGGGATCCTGGCCTCCCCAGCCGTCTGAGCAGACCTGCCATATGAGCCCGTTTCGACGCCCTCGCCGCCCCTTTCTGCCAAGCGCCGGCAGCGCTCCGCTTCGGTCTTCGGGCCTCTGCCTGCCCATGTTCTGCGTGCGTCCGCTGGCTGCCGCCGGCCGCAGCCTGGAAGAGCTGTGCATAAGAAAATGCCCTCACATCCGTAACTACGAAGAGGCTTATAGGGTGAATAGGCGAAAGCTTTCACAGGGTCACCTGCAAGGTACTTTCGAGTTCAAGCTTAATCTAGAGTCTAGAGTATCAGCCGTGATCTGCCGTGCCCACTCAAGGCCAAACATGACGACATTCGCATGTCTTCGCCCTGCTGGGTGTCAACATACTGCTGAAACGAGGCCGGGACATGTTCGACTTGGGCGATGTGCCTGCCATGTGTCGGATGCCCACATGCAGCTTAAAATAGTGTCTTTGCCGTTGACATGTGCCTGCACGGCCATGCGGGGACGAGGCCCGAGGTGAGGAAGCCGTCCCCCGCATGGAGAAGTGTGGCTGGTGCCCTGCATGGACAGCGCTAGCCTCGTCCTACTTGCCTCAAACGCACACTTAGACAGCAGCGTGCGGACTCGGGCCTGGTTCTTCGCGCGAACGCTCGCGATCCATGCCACCCGCCTGCGGTGAAGGACCAGACTGTGGGAAATCTGGCTTGCTGGTTTCCACAAGGATTAAATGCGAAAGGCTGCGACACCTCAATGTCCACATCGGCACCGCTTTCTGTCAGCGGCCTTTCATGAACATGAAGACTGCACTTGCATCTTCCCGGAATTTCTTTCGCTGCCTTCGGAAGGTCGTCAAAGAACCCCTGCCCCCAACCTGCACAGACGGGCTTGGAGGTGCATCTTCTCATTCCTGCAGTCCTTGCGTGATTACCTCCCTTGCTCCAACCCCTTGATGGATGTACACTGAACAATGCTAGGAGTATAGCCTGCGGTGCACTATATACAGTAGCAATGGAGGGCAAGAAGCTCACCCCAGACAACAAATTTAGAGCCAGCGTCCCTGAACAGTTCCAGGAGCTGAGGCCAATCCATGTCCCGGAGGTCCAGCCTCCATGGCTGGTTCGCTACGGGCCACAAACGTTGCCAAGTAGACACCAAAGGCTGGATATGGCTGGATCTTGGCTCTTCGTCTAGCGCCGAAATTGACTACTGGAACGGTACACGGATGTGGGCAGCGATGCATGATCATAATGGTGTATCCAGCCCTGTTTCTCCAGCAAAATCACGTGCACGAATACCGTATGCGCTGTAAGCAGCCAGAGGCTGCGGAAGACCACAACATCGCAAGACATTTTTGAATGTGGCAGGAAGCACGGTATGGCTCGGGCGCTGCTACAGGCACATTGATATCACAGCTTTTTGCTGCGGCAGTCTTCGGCGCCGCGTTTGACAAACAGTTTGGGCATTTGGGCTTTGACGCGCAAGTCATTAAGTTTGACCTGCACTCGCAGCAGCCCGGGACAGAGAACTGTTGGTGACGGCCGCCTCCCTCTACTGAGATCATCAGCTGCTTTCTGAAATGCTTCTCGGCGACCAGCTTGAGCTTGATGTCTTTACGACTACGATGACTACGGCGGCCCATGATGGTCCATCCCGTGCCGTCACGAAAACTTGCTACGGCGTTGTCTGCACTGTAGTTTTGGCCAGCCCGGGTTGCGCTCCGGGTCCATTTGGTATGACCTGGCTCACAGCTGCTTTCATGCACATGTCACATGACAGCTAATTACAGGCTGATTACCAACCTCCCTTGCTTAAGAAGTTCCCAACTCTCCTGCCGACATTTCAATTTCCGATACTCAATGAACTGGAAAGACCCTTTCTTGATGCGGGACGAAGGAAGGGGTTTCCCCCCTTTAATTTGAGCGCGCCCTTCTCTGGAGTGGAACCCACACTCACGCAGCACATCAGTCGGTGGGTGGATGGGTGGGTCATCATACTTGTTGCTACTGACTATACACATCTATACTTCCCTGTACAGGCATGCAATCAGACCTCCGAGCCTTGAGTCCCCAAACTCGGCGGCAGCACCGGCACGATGATCTTTTTTGGCGCAGAGCGCTCAAGCGTGAACTGCTCGTCCATGGATGGAAGCTGGAGCTCCTCGATAGGTCTTCTTGCATATATCTCTACGCCGCTCAGCTCTAGCATGATTGCGGCGCTGTATAAGCTTCCGACCCCACTCAATGCTAAAACAAGAACGAAGCCCAGGACCTGGCGGGCACCGCCATCGCTGCTGGACACAGTGCACAAACCATGCCAGGAGGTGCCACGACGGTTCCAACAATGATGTCTGCCCAGCCCGGCAACGCTACCGGAGTGTTGGCGATCTGTCAGGGATCTGGAGATCCGTCCGTGGCCATGGTAGGGCATATGGTCCAAACGGCTCCCATGCACGCTGCCTTGTACTCGAAGTCGTCCATGCCCCGAACGAAGAAAGGTAGCAACTCGGACACCGAGGCAGGTGCATGACAACCCCAGGGTGCACACCCAAGCAAGTCGACGTAACACACCGGGCCTTTTCGGACAGCACAGGTATGGCGGTGTCGTTCTGGCCAGAGGGGTGACGTATCGGGAGAGCAAAGAGCTTCACAACCCTAAGGCCCTAGGAGCCTCGGCGAGGATGCGATACTGGTCAGCTGTCGTGGAGTCGTTGAATCGGCTTTGGAACTGCAGCAAGAGGAGTGAACTGAAAATCCACAAGACTAGGGACCGCAGCACACCGGAGTGCGTCTTTGGCGGTACCAAGGAATTGCCTCCTCCAATCGTCCTGTTTCCGACAGTGACAGGAGCCTGACACGACAGGGTCACTGGACCTAGTCCTCCAGAATAGGCAGGCTGCAAAAACAGCTCCATGACACTGCGGGCCTGTCTTGACCCTCGCGATCCATGACACTGTCATAGCCCCGCTTTAGATCTGGGAGAACTTAGTGGCGCCAGACATGCTCGTACTTGCTGCGGAACCTCGCTACAACACTGCAAGCACGACCGGCAAGCCCTAAGATATCGACCTTCGCCGATCATCGTGTCCTGCAAAGCCGATGCTAGACAATCTGAGAGGCTTTTCTCCAAGCCCTGGATAAGCGATCTGGCATCCTTTCGAGGCAAAACCGTCGCGGCAGTTAAAAAGAAAGGGAATGTTACTGCCATTGATATTGTAGTACATGGTTGATGATTCAGGTTTTGTTGCTTTTGCGATTCAGTCTTGCCACTACCCATTCCATTTTCGTGTCTGTAAGACACAGCATGTAAACACTAATCACCAAACCCTAAACGTTCAATCTGCGAAGCACAGCTGCTGAGCACCCTGCAATGATCTGGCTCTGCTCAACTCTCCGCCAAAATGCGCTGAAGAGATCATAGGCTTCCAGCCCTTGGGCGAGACAGGACATCAGTTTTGTGCCTTTAGGGTTTGGGCGGCTTAGGGTATCTTAGCATGCGAAGTTTTCGGTTTTTTGTATTTTTGGTGCAGCACTGAGTGAGTGAGTGAGTGAGTGAGTGAGTGAGTGAGTGAGTGAGTGAGTGAGTGAGTGAGTGAGTGAGTGAGTGAGTGAGTGAGTGTGTGTGTGTGTGTACACGTGGCTAAGGTTTACAGGTGGGGGGGGGTGTTCCGGGATTTGAACGACTGGGAGCTGCTAATGGTCGCTAATTATGTTGGTGCGTACTCCTGCTATCACTGCATGTACCATAAGAACCATAACTGCACCCAGCACTGCGGATCTGACGACACCAGACATCATGGCTGCTAGCAGCTAGCACCACTACCATCATCAAGCGCAGGCATTTCAACCGTCATTATCATCACTTCGATCCTCAGCGCTACTGCTGTGCCAAGCGGTGGTTTTGTTGGACAACGAAATCGAGAACTCAGGAGGAAAGCAACCAGCCCCAGAAACACGTTGTCTTCAATATGACTCCTGAATTTGCGGGCGGGCTTCCTCAAACAAGCGCCTGTGGGCAGGAATAGATTCAGGGCAGTACTGCTGTGTTCAGCAGGCATCTGAAGCTACATACTGCATGTTGAGGAAGCATAGTTGGGATGCAGTCACTCTGGCTTCAATTCCGCTGTTGTGACACCTACTGGCCTGTCCAGTGGAGGCAGGGCTTCACGCGCGTGTTGATGTAGGAGGTTATGAAAGGGGAACCTCAAACTTGAGCCCCTGCTTGTCTTGAGGCCGTGGCTGGAGTCTTCTAACTCCTTCGGCCAGATCCTGCGGGATGAATACTGCAAAATCAATAACCTGGTTTGCCTTCAAGTTCATGTGTAGGCGGATGGATACATGCAGATATATACACATGTACATGCCTCGAGAGCACATTTCTGCAGCGAGTGTAATGAAACCGCTGACACGCACTCTTTTCTTGTCAGCCGCGCCCACGATCTAGCCGATGACCTGGCACGGAGTTCGGCATGAACATCTCCAAATATGTCATGCTGTCCAGCGCGGCCATCCGGCCACAATGAAATGGCCGTCAGAGACTGCTGCAGTGTATCTGTGCGCATATGTTCGTGTACTTGCAGATGCCTGCTTGAGCACACCCATTCGCGCTTTGGCTTCTGCGATCTTCACAGCCCGTCTCCGCAGGTACACACGGTGCCTGAAATGGCAGCAGAACTGCGACCTTCGATGGTTTTCGAGAGCAAGGCTGAGAGCTGGTCCACTTTTTGAACCAGAACTGGATCTCTTTCCACTTTGGAAGGCGGCGGCTGTTGGTTTTGTGGCGCAACCTCACAGACATATGGCAGACGCCAATCACCAATAATAAGGGAACACCAGCAGGATGCCTCAGGATTTCTGCAAGCTCCAGCTCGTCCAGAAGACCAGCCTTCTCCTGGTGGCTCCAAGGGGAAAAATGCCACTGCTTTCCCGTTTTTGAGCACGCGGAAAGCAGTGCCAGCTCACCCCGATTTTGACGGGGCGCCGTGCATGTAAAAACAACGCAGACCGAAAGCGCGACATGTCTGTACTTACATAACAGGCGAGCAGACAATGGCCTTGGAAAGGACAGTCAGACGAAGAGACCAAGGGGCCAAGCAATGGGGACTTTGCCACAGCTTTGCCACAGCCGCCACGAGTCCCCATGTCCCCTGTTTCTGGCGTAGCTGGGTCCATGTCCTTGCCTTCGCGACTGCAGCCGTGTGAACAGATGGGGGCAAGTATGTTTTATACGTCTAGCAAAAAACTACCAGTGAGATGACTCGTCGACTAGGAAAGACAACAGGGACGCCGACCCTGTGAAGGGACCAAAGCCCCCTCTCCTCCAGGGCACACTGCACCTGCATTATTATTACCAACACTATTTTTGGGGGGTTCCTTATTATAGTTATAGTATGATGGGCCCGAAAACCCTATTCTAATTATTAAGCCCCCTATATTGC